CCCATCCCATCCCATCCCATCCCACCCGTATCCTGCCTGATCTGGTGTCCGTGTCCCCCAGCCGCGGCAGCTGCGGAAGATGATCCAGCAGACATTCCAGCAGTATGCCCTGCTGCGGGAGGAGGAATGTGTCCTCAAGTTCCTCCACACCTTGGACACCTTCGCACCCATCGATCAGGAGACCTTCCGATGCCAACTCGTTGTGCGTCATGGAATGGGATGGGCTGGGATCGGGTGGGGTGGGGTGCGAGGGGATGGAATGGGATGGGGGTGGAAGAGGATGAGGATGGGCATGGGGATGGGGATGGGATGGTGTGGGATGGGGATGAGATGGGGATGAGGATGGGATGGGGATGGGTGGAATGTTATGAGGATGGAGATTGGGTTGGGGATGGGGATGGGAATGGATATGGGTGGGATGTTACGGGGATGGAGATGGGATGGAGATGAGATGGGGATGGAGATGGGATGGGGTGGAGATGACATGGGATAGGATGGAGATGGAGATGGGGATGGGATGGGGATGAGATGGGATGGGATGGGGTTGAGATGGGAATGGAGTTAAGATGGGATGGAGATGAGATGGGATGGGGATGAGATGAGGATGGAGATGAGATGGAATGGAATTGAGATGGGGATGAGTGGGATGTTATGGGGATGATGATGAGATGGGCATGGGGATGGGATGGGGATGGGATTGGGGATTGGGATGAGGATGAGATGGGGATGGGGATGAGATGGGGATGGAGTTAAGATGGGATGGAGATGAGCTGGGATGGGATGGAGATGGGGATGGGGGGTGGGATGTTATGGGGATGGAGATGGGATGGAATGGGGATGGTATGGGATGGGAATGGGGATGGATCATCTCAACCCTCCCCGCTTTGAGGTGAACCTCTGGGGGCTGTTTCTGGGGGGGTTAAGGTTGGAACCAGGATCTAAACCTTCATCATCCTTCTCCTCCAACCCCCAGCAAGGATGGAACATCACCGTGGACCTGGTCATCAGCCCCAAGGGCATCCAACAGATGACAAGCAAAGAGGCCAAGGTTGGGGCACGTCTGGGGGTTGGGCAGGGGATTTAGGGGTCCTCAACCCAACTTGGGGGTCTCCAAGTCCAGCTAGGAGGTTCCCGCTCTCAGCTGGGACTCTGTCCCCCCCAGCCCACCTGCTTGGCCGAGTTCAAGAACATCACGTCCATCAAGTGCTCCAGCACGGAGGAGGGTTGGGCTGTGCTGCAGTTGGGGCTCACTGGGACACCCCAGGTGAGGAGCTCTGGGGAGAGTGGGGACACTGGGTGGGGTGGGAAGTCCTTCCAATGCCATGGGGTAGTGCCACATCCCTGTGGATTAGGTGGGGTTTCATGGATGGCTCCATGTCCGCCTTGGGGGAGATGTTCCTAGGGTTGTCCATCCCTGTGGTTCAGGTGGGACTTGGTGGGTGATTCCATCTCCATTCTTTTTTGAGATGTCCCCAAGGTTCGTCCTTCCCTGTGGATCAGGTGGGACTTGTTGGTTGGTTCCATCTCCACGTTGGGTGAGAGGGAAGTGTCCTCCAAAGTCCCCAGGATGGATCCATCCCTGTGGATCAGGTGGGATCTGGTGGATGGCTCCATCTCAAGCCATGGTTGAGGTGCCCCCAAGGTCCATCCATCCCTGTGGATCAGGTGGGACCTGGTGGATGGCTCCATCTCCACCTTGGATGAGAGGAAAGTTTCCCCACAAAGTCCTCAGGGTGGATCCATCCCTGTGGCTAACCAGAACTTGGTGGTTGGCTCCATCTCCACCCTAGCTGAGAGGGAAGTGTCCTCAGGGTCCATCCATACTTGGTGGCTTCTCCTGGCTCTCCCAGGAACGCTGATCCTGGAAGACCTGGGATTGCCTTCAGAGCATTGAGGTGGTCCCTGAGCTACCTCCAGCTGGGGAGAAGGTTGGACCTCCCATCCCATCACCCCCAGCCCATCTCCAGTCTCATCCATGTCCCAATCCTTGTGTCCCCGCAGTCCTTGGCCATCAAGACATCATCCCTGGCCGAGGCGGAGAACATGGCTGACCTCATCGATGGCTACTGCAGGCTCCAGGGTGGCTTGGACACCTCCCTCATCACCTTCCCCAGGAGAGGTGAGCACCCTTGTGGGGGTCCCACCTGGCAGTGTCTCCACTGTGTCCCCCCAAGCCTTCTCCAAGCTCTCCATGGGGCCACAGCATCTCTGGTGGCTTTGGGCTGACCCTAGTTGAGATGCACCAGAGTCACTTCTCATGTGGTGGAGGCACTTGGGACCTCCCAGGAGCTCCACCACGTGTGTAGTTGAGGTGTTGGTGGGTCACCAGCACCACCAGGCTCTGGTGGAGGTGGTGACTGTTGTCTTCTCCACAGAGAAGGAGAAGAGGATCAGCCTCCCACAGATCCCAACTCCGTGAGTAGCTCCTGGTCCTGGCATGGGATTGGGACCTACTTCCTGCCCATCCCAACGCCCTCCTGACCTTGTCAATCTACTCCTGCCCATCCCAAGGTCCTCCTGCCCAACCCAACCTCCTGCTCATCCCAACCTCCTCCCACCCCACCCCATGACCTCCATCTCCTCCCACCCACAGACACCTGGGGGAGAGACAGTCCACACTGTCCGACAGCATCAGTGTGGGTGAGTTTGGGTCTTCTTCTCCTCCCTTGGATCTTCTCCTCCCTTCCCATCACCCGTGGGGTGAAGGCATGGATGTGGGACACATTCCATGAGGGTTTTGGAGGGGTTGGACACCTCCAGGGCTTCTCCAGAGGGTTGAGATGCAACCAAGCAGCCCAAGAGAGGGTCAGGTTCGCATCCTGATGGCTGTGGTCCATGTGGTTGGATCTCTGGAGATGCTGGAAGACCTCCCAATGCCCATGGAGCTTCCTGAAGCTCTTTCTGCATCCCATTTTGCCCTAGATTCCGAGATCTATGCTGAAATCCTGGATGAGACCCCAAGACCAAGGTCTGGAGGTAGGTGCCACCACCCTGGGGACCCTCATACCCATCACCAAGGTGTCCAAATGTCCTCCTGCCCATCCCAACCACCTCCTGCCCATCCCAATGTCCTCTTGTCCATTCCAAGCTCCTCCTGCCCACCCCAGTGTCCTCCTGCCCATCCCAGCCTCCCATCCCATCCCAAGGTTCTCCTTCCCATCCCAATGTCCTCCTGCCTATCCCAAGCTCCTCCTGCCCATGCCAACCTCCTCCTGTCCATCCCAACCTCCTCCTGCCCATCCCAACCTCCTCCTGCCCATCCTAACCTCCTCCTGGCCTGACACATCCACCTCTTCCCTGTTTCCCTCTTCATGAAGTCCAACACTTCATGATCTCCCGGGAAGACATCGCTTTGGGCAGGATCCTTGGAGAAGGCTTCTTTGGAGAGGTCTACGAAGGGATCTACACCACCCCAGTGAGCTTCCTACCCTCTCCATGACCTGCACGGCCAGGAGGTGGATGTGAGGTGACATCTCCCTCCTCTTCCTTCTCCTGGCAGAATGGAGAACGGATCAACGTGGCTGTGAAGACCTGCAAGAAGGATTGTAGCCCTGAGAACAAGGACAAGTTCTTGAGTGAAGCAGGTGCACCATGAGGTCCTCCTGGCTCCTTCTGGGGGTGGACAGAGACCTCTCAGCCCTTCCAAGGGTCATCACAGGAGGCAGATTTGGGTGATCTGGAGGTCTTTGTGGTGGCACAACCTTCTTATGGTATCTCCTGGTGGCTCCCTGGGGACAGTTGGCCTTGGGAATGCAGGAGAGGAGGAGAAGGTGGTCCATGCCTTCATATCTAGGCTAGGTGGTCCAAAACACGTGGGTTTGGGGTGGGGAGAAACGTGGAATGCTTGGATGGGAGAAGAGGCACTACCAGGATGGAGAGCCCTAAAAAACAGGAGCTCCAACAGCTTTAGGGATGTCCTAGGCAGTTCCTCCTGCTCCATCTCCACCAACCACCTCAGGGCTGGGATTTGGTCTCCTGGAAGCGGGAGGTCCTCCCATTCCATGGTGTCTGACGTGATGTCCCCTCCAGTGCTGATGAAGAAGTTGGATCACCCCCACATTGTGAAGCTCATTGGCATTGCTGAAGAGGAACCCACCTGGATCATCATGGAGCTCTACCCCTATGGAGAGGTGAGACATGTGCCACCTCCAGAGGTCATCCCAAGGTCCTCCTGCCCACCCCAACATTCTCCTCCTGCCCACCCCAACGTCCTCCTGCCCATCCCAGCATTCTCCTCCTGCCCCTGATGCCGCTGTGGGTTGTCCCTCTGCAGCTGGGCCAGTACCTGGAGCAGAACAAGGTGTGCTTGGCCGTGACCACGCTCATCCTCTATGCTCTGCAGATCAGCAAGGCCATGGCCTACCTGGAGGCCATCAACTGTGTTCACAGGTGGGCAGGGGTGGCATGGAGCTCCTGGCATGGTGGGACAGATGGGACAAGGCAGGGAAGGTGGGAGGGATGGGCAGGTGGTTGTCCAGATGTGAGCTCTCCAGCCCTTCTCCATCCTTTCTCCATCCCTTCTCCATCCATCTCTCCTATCCGCCCAAGGTTCTCTCTCCTTGCAGCCAGGTGAGATGGTTGTCTAGGTGGGAGTCCTCCTTCTCCATCCCTTCTCCATCACTTCTCCATCCCATCTTCATCCCTTCTCCATCCTTTCCCCATCCCTTTTCCATCCCTTCTTTCTCCCCATTCAAGGTTATCTCTCCTTGCAGCCAGGTGAGATGGTTTTCTAGATGAGAGTTCTCTTTCTCCATCTCATCTCTAACACTTCTCCACCCCTTCTCTAACCCATCCCCTTCTCCATCCCATCTCTAATCATTTCTCCATCCCATCTCCATCTCTTCTCCATCTCTCCTTCATCCGTTTTTCCCTTCTCCACCCCTTCTCTCTCTGTTCTCTGTCCCCACCCAAGGCTGTGTGTCCTTGCAGGGATATAGCCGTGAGGAACATCCTGGTGGCCTCTCCCGAGTGCGTCAAGTTGGGAGACTTTGGCCTCTCCAGGTACATCGAGGACGAGGAATACTACAAAGGTAAAGAGCTGATGGACTTGGAGCTCCTTCCCACCTTGGATGGAGCAGGGATGGTGGGAAGAGACCCCCTGGGGCTCTCCCTGATCTCCTGTCTCATCCAGCATCCATCACTCGTCTCCCAATCAAGTGGATGTCACCTGAGTCCATCAACTTCCGGCGCTTCACCACAGCCAGTGACGTCTGGATGTTTGGTGAGGGGTGAGATGGGCATGGAGAAGACTTTCAGGCGTCCTCTGGCATTCCCAGGGAATAGTCCTGCTCCCTGTGTGGCTTATCCCAGCCTTGCCCCAGAGGAGCTTCCTCCATCCATCCTTCATGGGCTTGAGTTGCTTAATGGGCTCTACCAAGCTGGATGGGTCTGGTCATTAGGTGGGTCCTCCTCTTCCAGGGATTTTATGGGAGTTTTGGGATTCAGGAGGTCCAAGCACCCAAGCTGACCTGGTGTCACCACACAGCATGACACTGTCACCAGGTCCCCAGGACCGTGCTGAGGAGGTTGTCCCTCAGCTTTAGCATCTCTTGAGGTTCTCCTTGTTGCTCCTTGGGGCTCCTTCAGGCTCCCTGGAAGGATCTCACCCGAGATCAGGAGGTCCAAGCTGACCTGGTGTCACCACACAGCATGACACTGTCACCAGGTCCCCAAGACCATGCTGAGGAGGCTGTCCCTCAGCTTTAGCATTTCCTGATGTTCTCCTCATTGCCCCTGCAGCTGTTTGCATGTGGGAGATCCTGAGCTATGGCAAACAACCTTTCTTCTGGCTGGAGAACAAGGATGTGATTGGAGTGCTGGAGAGAGGTGATCGCCTGCCCAAGCCTGACCTGTGTCCTCCTGTCCTCTACACACTCATGACTCGCTGCTGGGACTATGACCCCAGTGAAAGGCCCAAGTTCAAGGACTTGGTGTGCAGCTTGAGGTGAGGAGCTTGGACCTTGAAGGACTTTGGATCTGGAGGTCTTCACTCTTGGAGTGTCCAGGGTGGGATGGAGAGTTGAGAAAGTGGGTAGAGGAGGAGAATGGACCCTGAAGGACTTTGGGTCTGCAGTTCTTCTGGACTCTTGGAGGGTCCAAGGTGGGATGGAGAGGTGGAAAGTGGGTGGAGGAGGAGCAGGGACCTGTGGAAGACGCTGGGTCTGGAGTTCTTCTGGCCAAGACTTTGAGGAGCCTTTGGGACCCTCTGAGAGCCTTTGGAGACCCTCTGAGAGCTTTTGGAGACCCACTGAGAGCCTTGGAGGTGGTGCTTGGGGTGAAATGAAATTCCTGGGAATGGGACTTGGGGGAGCTCAACCATCTCCAGATGGAGTATGAGCCCCATGACAATGTCCCTCCTGGGGGTTGTCAGCTCCTGTCTTGTCCCACAGTGACATCTACCTGATGGAGAAGGAGTTGGCCAAGGAGCAGGAGAGGAACAATCGTCATAGACCTCCCAAGATCATGGAGCCACCAACATTCCAGGAGCCACCTCCAAAGGTGAGGATGGAGCAGAACCCACACAGGGAGGTTCATGGCCTTGCTGTCACCTCCTGGTGGGACCTCCTGGGCTCACAGCCACCTCTCTCCTCCCACAGCCCAGCAGACCCATGTACAAACCTCCTGCATCCCAGAACAACCTCCTGGCTCCCAAGCTGCATTTCCAGGTGAGGTGGAAGGGCTGGAGCATCCCAGAGGGATGTGAGCAAAGGGGTTGATGCCACAAGGTCCTGCCCTAGGTGCTCCAGGTCACCACCAAGTGTCTCCTGCCACCTGGTCACTGCTCAGGGCTCTGCAGCTTGGCCAACCTCCATGCCTTGGCTAACCAAGGAGGAACCTCCCAACCCACCATGGCTATGAGTGCAGGAGCTTCTCCTAAGGTCTTTCCAAAGAGGAACTTCCTAACTCACCATGGCTATGAGTGCAGAAGCTTCTCCTAAGGTCCTAACTCCTGGGTTGGGTTCCAACCCCATGTTGAGGTCAAAGAAGCCCCAACCAAGGAGGAACCTCCCAACCCACCATGGCCATGAGTGCAGGAGTTTCTCCTAAGGTCCTTCCAAGGAGGAACCTCCCAACTCATGATGTCTACGAGTGCAGAAGCTTCTCCTAAGGTCCCAACCCCATGTTGAGGGTGAGGAAGCCCCGAACAAGGAGGAACCTCCCAATTCATTATGCCTATGAGTGCAGAAGCTTCTCCTAAGGTCCTTCCAAGGAGGAACCTCCCAGCCCATGATGTCTGTGAGTGCAGAAGCTTGTCCTAAGGTCCCAACACCATGTAGAGGCCAAGGAAGCCTCAGTCAAAGAAGGAACCTCCTAGCCCACCAGGTCTACAAGTGCAGGAGCTTCTCCTAAGGTCCCAAGCCCTGAGTTAGGTCCCAACCTCGTGTTGAGGGTGAGGAAACCCCAACCAAGGTGCAACCTCTCAACTCGTGACATCTCTGCTCAGCACCAGAAGCTTTTCCTAGTGCTCTCCTGGTGTTGTCTGTTCCGTCTGTCTACCTGTCTGTCTGCACTAACCTCCCTCCCTGCCTTGTCTTGTGCCTCTGGTGTCTTCCTGTCCCCACCCCACGTCCCCACCAGGTACCCGAGGGCCTCTGTGCCAGTTCTCCTTCGCTCGCCAGCCCTGTGGACTACCAGTGTCCAAGCAGCTCCATGCACACTCCTCCACCCAACCGCCACCACGGCTTCAAGCGCCACAGCATGAGGGTAAGACAGGGGTGGACCCTGCCCAGGCCATGGCCCAAGCCTGGAGAAGATCATCTTGGTCATGTTGAGGTCCTGGAGCGAGGGATGTTGTTGGTGTTTCATGTTCTGCTTCTGCTGCTGCTTCCAGCTCGGTGTTGCTCCTGTGTTGGAGGTTCAAATCCTGTTCCCTTGTGGGTGCTGGTGGTAGGATGGAGGCATCAAGGTCATGGAAGGGTCTGGGAGATCTTCAGGCTCTGGAGGGTCTCCAGGGTCCTGGATATATCCAGGTTTTGGGTTGTCCCCAGGCTCTGGGATGTCTCCAGGCTCCTGGATATCTCCAGACTTTGGGATATCTTCAGTCTCTGAGGTGTCTCCAGGCCCTGGGAGGTCTCCAGGGCGTGGGAGGTCTCCAGGGTGTGGGAGGTCTCCAGGCTTTGGGAGGTTTCCAGGCCCTGGGATATCTCCAGACTCCTGGTTATCTCCAGGCTCTGAGATATCCCCAAGCTATGATATATCTCCAGGCTTTGGGATGCCTCCAGGCTCTGAGGTGTCTCCAGGCCCTGGAAGGTTGCCAGACTCTGGGATATCTCTGGGCTCTAAGATGTCTCCAGACTTCTGGTTATCTCCAGGCTCCTGGATATCTCCAGGCTCTAAGATGTCTCCAGGCTCTGGGATATCTCCAGGCTCCAAGATGTCTCCAGACTTCTGGATATCTCCAGGCTCATGGATATCTCCAAGCTCTGGGATGTCTCCAGGCTCTGGGATATCTCCACCCTGCTCCATGCACGTCCATGAAGGACATTGGATAGGCAACTGGCATGGTGTCCCCATGAATGCTGAGGGGATGGGTGGCTGCTGCTCCTTGTGATTTTGGGTCATGTCCTCAGGCTTCGTGATGTCACCTGAGATGCCCTTGTTGGTTTGCAGCATGAGCTTGGTGATTGAACCCCCAAAACCAAGTGTTGAGGTGCTCCAACCTCTGGAGAGACATGGTGCCAAGGCTGTCTATGCCATGGGCTCTCCATGGTGCTGGAATGTGGTGGTGGGACATGTGGGGTCAACCAGAAGGTTCTTCTCCCTGCTGGAAACCAAATTGCTCCCCAAGTTCCAGGTGGGGGTTCATGGCTGGTGGGATCTGTGCATGGCTTGCATGGATGGAGCAGGGACGTGGTTCCTGGGCTGAGATCCATGGAGGTGCTGGATCCTTCCAAGTGACCATCAGCTCTGCACTCCAGGAGGAAGACTTCCTGCGTCCCAGCAGCAGGGAGGAGGCCCAGAAGCTCTTGGAGATGGAAAGGCTGAAGGTGGAGCAGGTGATGGTCAGGCAGCAGAAGGAGATGGTGGAGGATGACCAGTGGCTGCGGCAGGAGGTGAAGTCCCTGGTGAGTAACCTCTAGTTCCTGCAGCCTCGGGAATCAGGGAGTGGGTTGGGATGGAATGGACTTGAAGCTCCCCCAGTTCTACCCAGGGACACCTCCCACCAGCCCAGGTTGCTCCAAGCCCCATCCAACCTGGCCTGGAACACTCCCAGGGATGGAGCAGCCGCAGCTGCTCTGGGAATTCCATTCCAGCTCTTCACAGGGAAGAGGGTGATGGAAGCACCACTGGAGCCATTCATAGCTGGAAAATCCCATTTTCCATGGAGGAACATCTCCAGCAACCAAACGTCTTCCACCCCATTCTGCTCCACCCCCACATAAATCCCATGGAGCTGCTTCATTCCAAGATGAATCTCTGGGAATTTGATGCCATTTTTAGTACTTTTAATCACATCTTAATGAGTTTTTTTTTAACAAGGACTTTGATAGAGCAAATCTTAACTCCTCTGTGTCCCTTCTCCTCCCACATTCCCAAGCCTTGCTGAGTTCCCTTCCTGGGATATCCTATGGACTATTCCATAGGTCTCTCAAACATGAGGAAAACCCTGGTTTTCCCCCCTTTTTTTTCCCCATATTTCTCCTCCTTTGCAGGATCCAACAGTGTTCATGACCAGCAACATTCCTCTGGTGAGTGATGCCAAGTTGGGTTGGATTTGGGTTCATCCCTTGGTTTTTTGGGGGAATATCCAGAGATCCTCATTCTTTTTGGCTTGGATAGGTGATAAATATCCATATATTTGTCCTTTCCTTTGGGAAAATCCACCTGAAAATGGGAATCGGGGGGAAAAGTGGTGGTTGGAGTCCCACTAGAAGCTCCATGAGGGGATGGTGGTGCCTCCTCCCTCTTCCCTGCTCCCACCTGGGAATCTGAGCCCCTAATTCCATGTTTTTCCCTCTCCACAGCTGCTCCCAGAGAAGGAAACCGATTACAGTGAGTGCCCAGGGCTGTGCTGATCCAGGAGGAGCCTCAAGGCCATGTCATTCCAGACTTTGGGATGCTCCAGGAGTGAATTCCCAGACCACGAGGAGCACCTTTCCCTGCTCCAGTGGTGGAGCTTATCCCAGGCTTGGGAATCCAAGGGATTTGGACCCCATGGGGAGGTGGCAGTGGGATGGGGCAGGTGCCACAGGGTGGTGGGGACATGGTATGGGTTCTGGGGCTCTCCAGCGTTCCCAGGTGTCTGTGGGAGCAGCTGGAGTGACTCTCCTTCCTTTCCCTTGCTGCTGGTGTAGCACAGTTCACAGGGCCTCCACAGAAGCCTCCAAGACTTGGGGCACAGGTAAGACCTCCTTGGATTGGGTCACTTGGTCCTCCTCCACCTCCGCAGTCTCATTGCTCCTCCTTATCCCTCTGCATGCACAGGGTGGGACTTCTCCACCACCCAGAACCATCAGGGTCATGGGTGGGAGGTAATGAGTCTGACCAGGGGGCCCCAAATCACTCCAGACTGGTTTGGGCTGGAAGGACCTCAAAGCTCATCCAGTCCAATCTTGTTACCTGGGCAGGGACACCTCCCACCAGGTTGCTCCAAGCCCCATCCAACCTGGCCTGGAACACTCCAGGGATGGAGCAGCCATAGCTACTCTGGGCAACCTGTGCCAGTGCCTCACCATCCTCACAGACAAGAATTCCTTCCCAACATCCCATCTCTCCCTGCCCTCTGGCCATAGGAAGCCATTCCCTGTGTCCTGTCCCTCCATCCCTTGTCCCAAGTCCCTCTGCAGCTCTCTTGGAGCTCCTTGAGGCAATGGAAGGGGCTCTGAGATCTCCTTGGAGCTCAGTGTTTGGCTTGAAGTCCATGGATCTCATCCCACAGGGATTGTTGATGAGAAACCCAACCTGTAGCCATCCCTACCTCCATCTCCATGGAATCACAGAATTCCAGGATGGATTGGGTGGGAAGGGACTGTAAAGCTCACCCCATCCCATCCCAGCCATGGGCAGGGACACCTTTCACCAGCCCAGGTTGCTCCAAGCCCCATCCAGCCTGGCCTGGAACACTCCCAGGGATGAGGACACCACAACCTCTCTGGACAGCAAACGAGCTGTTGGCCTTTCCCCCTCTTTGTCCCAATGTGATCCATGTGTCCCATATGTCCTGTTCCCTGGCAGCCCATCCATCCATCCCCCACGGCCAACCTGGACCGCACCAATGACGTGGTGTACAGCAACGTGATGGACCTGGTGCGAGCAGTGCTGCAGCTGAAGAACGAGATCAGCCTCATCCCCCCCGAGGAGTACATCCTGGTGGTCAAGGTAGGGAGAGGACAGCTCCAGGGGTTCTGCTGGAGAGAGGGCAGGCAAGTTGGGAGTGAGAGTCCTGAGGGGCTCCCACCAAGGGTTCTCCTTGGGGAGGTGTAGTGTGTATAGGAGGAGCATGTCCAACGTTCCCGGCTCCTCCTTTTGGTCCTTGGGTCAATGGTGGGAGAGTCACCAACACACCCTGCTCCTCCATTAGGTCCTTGGGTCAATGGTGGAAGAGTTTGAAGCTCTTCCTTCTTTTTCATTGGGTCCTTGGGTCAATGGTGGGATGGTCTCCAGCACTACCTGCTCTTCATTGGCTCCTGGGGTCAACCAAGGGAGTGTCTCACCACACCCTTCCCTCATCACCAGCCTCTTCCCACCCACCCCTAGATCCACCTTCACCCTCCTTCTCCCTCCAGAACGTCGGCCTGTCCCTACGGAAGCTCATCGGGAGCGTCGATGAGATCCTGCCCAAGCTCCCTGCGGCCTCTCACGTGGAGGTAGGCACAGGGCAGAGGGTGGTCAGGGCTTGGTGTGGTGACCCTATCATTAACCCCTTATGTGTCATGGCCAGATTGAAGGCACCCAGAAGCTCCTCAACAAGGACTTGGCCAACTTGATCAGCAAGATGCGCCTGGCGCAGCAGAACGCCATCACCTCCTTAAGCGATGAGTTCAAGAGACAGATGTTGATGGCCTCCCACACCTTGGCCGTGGATGCCAAGAACCTCCTGGATGCTGTGGACCAAGCCAAGCTCCAGGCCAACCTGGTGAAGCTGTGCTTGGAGTGAGGGCAAGGAGAAGGGGTGGAGGAGCCACCTCTCTGTGGGCAGAACATCGAGGAGGAGTTGGCTTTTGTGTGTCTCCTGTGGCCTCCCTGTCCCCTTTCCTCCTCCTGCAGTGGCTTTAGCATCGTCTCGTTGCTCTTTGGGAGAGAGTGACTCATCCCTGGAAAGGGTTGGGAAGGACCTGTCCATCCCAGAAGAAGCTGAAGATCCCTCTGGCTTGGCATTTCCCCATTCCCCATCTACCAGCTCATCCGTGTCCATCCCTCAGCCCTCCAAGGATGGATGGATGGATGGATGGCCGCGGGCGGCATGTCGTGACAGGGACTTGGGAGCCAAGGGCATGGCATTGGGAGGGGAGGTGGCATCCACACAGGTGTCCCCAGTGGCCACCAGAGTGGTGGCCAAAGGGACTGGTTGGAGTTTCTTTGGACATTGTATAGAAGAGTTTATTTAATGATGGGAAGGAGCTGGAGGTGGTTCCAGCACTTGGTCCAGAGCCTGCAGGGCATGGGGAGGGGTGGCATCACCCTTGGGTGACACAAAGAAGGAGGACAATGCCCCTTCCAGTTGAGTTTTTCTCCATGTGACAACAGCAAACCAAGTCTCTGTTGGGTTTGTGCTCCCAGTTGGGCTTTCCCCCCCAGCATCTTCCCAAATGATGTTCATTCCAGCTGAGATAAACCATGCTCTGAGCCCTACTGTGCCTGTCCTTGCCTGTCACCTCCACACACACCCTGGGGACAACTCCTCCTGCTCTCCAGAACCTCCTCAGGAAGAGAAAAGGTTCTGAGATATCTCCCTGGACTAATGGAAGGTCTTCCTGACCTTGGCTGGAGGTGGGATGAGATGACTTTTGAGGTCTCTTCCAACGCAGTGTAGTTTATGAGGGATAACATAGTCATGGACATGGGATTCTCCCAAAGTTGGAGGTCTAGTGCCACACTGGGAGGTCACCCCAGAGCTTGTGGGACAAGGACAAGAAGGCAAGAAGGACATTGAGGGCCTGAAGCATGTCCAGAGAAGGGAGTGGAGGTGGGAAGGGGTTGGAGCAGCAGGAGCAGCTGAGGGAGCTGTGGGGACTCAGCCTGGAGAAAAGGAGGCTCAGGGGAACCTTCTGCTCTCTCCAACTCCTGACAGGAGGAAGGACACAGATGAGGTTCAGGCTCTGCTCCCAGAGGACAAGGGACAGGATGAGAGGAGGTTCAGGTTGGATATTGGGAATATTCCTCGGAAAGGGCTGTCCAGCCCTGGCACAGCTGGAGTCACCATCCCTGAGGGGATTTAAATCCATGTTGATGTGGCACATGAGGACATGGACAGTCGTGGCCTTGGCAGTGCTGTTGGACTTGATGGTCTCCAAGGGCTCTTCCAACCTCAAGGATTCCATGACTTTACCAGGCAGACACTGTCTGTCACCCTGAGGTGACGCAGCCTCACCCAAGCCACACATGACCCTCCCTGAAGATCTCTCTCCACCCATGAGCTCATGGCATGGACCAAGTTAGACACACACCTGATCCCTCCTGGCAGCTCCAGAGGCTTCTGGAATGGCTGGGACACCCCTGGGGTGTTCCTTGCCCTGCTGTGCCAGCCTTTATTCCTGAAAGGCCTCAGAGCACATCCAGCACAGGATCCCAGCAGGATCCTGGAGGGAAGATGTGGCAGGAGATACCCTGGTATCCCTCAGGGCATGGAAGGAGGAAGCAGATGCTCCTGGAAGTGATATGGAAGTTGGGAATGGAAATCTGGATTCCAGCAGCATCTGCAGGGGGTTTGGGATATGAGGTGGGATGGAGAGGAAGAATCGCTTGGGGTGGGCTCAGCAGCAAAGGTTCCTCCTACTCTAGCCAAAGCCACCAGCCTTGGAGCTGAAGCTCCTGGGACCCATGGGCACCACCTGGGTGGTTTTCCCCTTCCAGGCCACCCACATTCCCAGGTCGGCTTTTTCCATCTCCCTCACGAGCTCTGATGTGGGATGGGGTGGAAGCAACTGCTTGTTCTGGTGGGTCACAGAAGGTCTACACTGGGCAGAGCAGAGACCTCCAAGCCTTGTGGCTGAGCAAGGACCTCCTGGGATCATGGGATGGACCTGCCCATCCGAAGGGTTATCCCCTGCCCCACATCACCCATGGCCACACCACCACCCTGTGGTCACCACCATCCCAAGGTCTTCCTTCACACTTCACTCCCATCCCAGGTTCCTCCATGGTTCCAACCATGTCCCACCATGTCCTGGCCCAGCTCCTAGATCATCCCTGCCATGTAGGGTGGGAGGAAGAGCCCCACAGTGCCCAACAAGCAGACGATGATGAACACCCAGAGGAAGATGCGGTCGATGACCATGGCCACGTACTTCCAGTCTTCCTTCATCTGCCAAGTGGAGAGAGGCTGTGAGCATGGCCAGAAGGTCCATCCCACCCTCTACAAGGACCTCTTGGGGTTAGGAGACCACCCAGGGCTTCCTCTGCATCTTCTCAGTGCAAGGAGACACCTCATGTCTCCAGGAGGGTCCTATGAAAGCTTGGGCTGAGGGATGGACTTGTCCATGGAGGTTGCTTGGGAAGAGCTAGTCCCAACCAAGGGTTTCCAAAGCTACCTGAGAAGTTGGGGTGTAGCCTCTGGGTCACCTCTAGTTCCCAAGGAGTCTCCAACATCTCCACAGATGGGGAGGTAGTGGTGACACACATGACCAAGGCACATCTCTTCTCCAATGCCACCCCATCCCATCCCATCCCAT